CTATATATGAGAGCTATATCTAAATCTGAACCGATTTTCTCCAATTTCAATATTATTTATTTGAACCTTTGTAATATGTTTTGACAAATATTGGGGCTTAGTTAAGGGGGAAACTATATACGAGGTCCTCTATCTGAATACTGCCGTTTTCTTTTCGAAAACGTATATATAATTTTTTCATTTTGTTAGTAATGGTCCCTGTCCAGAGAAGGTTAACTCTCTACAGTATATCAATAATGAGTTTACACATTGCATAAATAAAAGCTTTTTTCAATTTCGTTATTTTTTTATAATTGTATACATATGTACATAAATAATATATAAATTAAATAATTATAAGTTAAGCAATTTCAAATTTAAAACATAAAACAATATAACAAAAATATGCAATTTTAACGTTGTCAATTTATTATTTCCACATGATTTAAATGTACAATTTATATTATAATAACAATGTTATTGAACACACATTTTCATAGTTTTAATAATTTGTATGGTCGTCCTTGACATCTACCACACTTTGTAGACGTTTTTTCATCCAGTGGACCAAATTTTGCAAGTTATAAACGTTGTGCATTGCAATTTTTATTGCTTTTTTATTTATACCCTACACAACTATGCTGTGCAGTCCCATGTGTTTGTAACGCAGCGAAATATTGGTCCTAGACCCACCTTTAAGTATACCGATCGTCATATCTCGACTAGCTGAGTCGATCTAGAAATGTGTGTGCGTCCGTCTGTCCATTATAATTTGTAAACACGATACAGGCCGCAGTTATATACCAATCATGACGAAATTTTCATGTAGGTCCGGTTTTAGCAAATTTAGACACTTTTGTTTTTGATTATGATTCGTTAATATTTAGAAAATGAAATAGACTAGAAACTTTATTTTTGTTTTTTTTCTAACTCTATAGGTCGCTTTAGGGGCCACTATTTTGACACGAACACCACGAAATTTTACACAGGGAGAAGGGTCTGCCCATAGAATGAGCATAACTGCTTTGATGAATATCGGTCAATATTTAGCGGGTCAAACAGACCAAGACTTTTGTTTGAAAAATTATATGCATTATATTATAACAAAATACTTCGAACGGCTGTTTAGATGATGATCGATCATTATTGCGGGAGCCAAATTAACCAAACCTAAAGCTAGGGAAAACAAGATTTGGAAAATATGCCAGGGTTAGGAAGTGACGCTGTTGACCGGTAATTGGTCAATAGGGTGTAAATATGGCGAAATATAGTCCAGGTTCAGAATATAGAAAGTTTGATTTTCGTGGCAGTTGTGTAGAATATCATATGGTCGGCCCCCGTGCCTTTTCAAATATGGTGTAAATATGGCGAAATATAGTCCAGGTTCAAAATATAGAACCGCAGAATGTTAGATTTTCGTGGCAGTTGTGTAGGTTATCATAAGGTATCATATATCCGCACTATATGTGACTTATGTTTAGGATCTTATCCTGATAAAATTTAAAATGTGGCTTGTTGTCCCTGAAGAACCCAATGTTCATAGCACTCATTAAGGAATGTTTTTATACCTTTCACCACACTGTGGTACAGGGAATTATGTCATTGTGCATATGTTTGTAACAGGCAAAAGGAAACGAAATAGACATATGGTTCCTTTTGAGAATATGCATAGAATCACTTTCTGAGTCGATTTATGCATGTCCGTCCGTCCGTCTGTAGATGTTAAATTGTAAACAAAGTACAGGTCGCATTTATGATCCGATTTGGATGAAATTTGGCACAAGTCACTTATTTGGTCCAAGAACCAACCCTTTTGAAATTGGGAAAAATCGGTTCAGATTTAGATATAACTCCCATATATATTTTCGTCCGATTTAAGGTAAATGGGGCACCAAAGTCCCTCTATATAATTCGATTTGCACGAAATTTTGCACAGAGTACTAAATTAAGTCCAGAATTATGTGTGCCGAGTTTCGAGAATCGGTTCAAATTTAGATATAGCTCCCATATATAGCTTCGTCCGATTTTAGGTAAAGGGGACCAAAGTCCCCATATATCATTCGATTTGCATGAAATGTGACATAGAGTACTGAATTAGGTGCAGAATGATGTGTGCCAAGTTTCTAGAAAATCGGTTTCGATTTAGATATAGCTCCCATATATAATTTCGTCCGATTTAAGGTAAATGGTGCACCAAAGTCCCTATATATCATTCGATTTGCACGAAATTTGGCATAGAGTATTGAAATAGGCATCATTATGTGTGCTAAGTTTCGTGAAAATCGGTTCAGATTTAGATATAGCTCCCATATATATTTTTGTCCGATTTAAGGTAAATGGGGCACCAAAGTCCCTATATATCTTTCGATTTTTGCGAAATTTGGCATAGGGTACTGAATTGGGTCCAGAATGATGTGTGCTAAGTTTCGTGAAAATCGGTTCAGATTCAGATATAGCTCCAATATATATTTTCGTCCGATTTAATGTGCACTAAAGAACCAAAGATTGGCCGACCCGCACACAATTTTGGATAAAGTTTTCTTGAAATTGGTTCAGATTTACATATAGTTCCTATATGTACTTTCGCCCGATTTTAAGTAAATGGTGTACTAAAGACCCATAGGTAGGCCGATTGGCAAAACGTACTGAAATTAATATAAATTAATCTCGGGTAAGTTTCCTTGAAATCGGTTCAGATTTAGATGTAGCATAGCTTCCATATATAATTTCGACCTATTCATGTTGGTTGTAAACCAAATAATCAATGGGTGCTTGATTGATATTACATTTTAAACAGTGAACTTATAGATAAAGATCGCATTTTTATATTCGTTCAATTTCATGTCAATGTCCCTTCGAAAAGACGACATTTGTAAACATACATATGTAGAATATCCCCAAAGTGGTGAAGGGTATCATATAGTCGGCCCAGTCCGACTTTACTACTTTCCTAATTGTTTTTTTTTTTTTTAATTTCTTAATATTGTTGTGAGTCATCGTTATTTCTGCACCACCAAATCAGGCTTGGCCAAACACTAGTAGCTCTATCGTTGCTATATAACATAATATTCAGTCGGGTGTGCAATGTTCAGATTGGCGAATGAAAACCTCTTCTCTATATTTGCTCCAGATAGTACGGATTTTTGCGTGCTGCTCTCAATAAGTATTTGTTTTTAATATAGTCTGTCGAATTGTTTTTTGACAAACCTTAACATCACTCTCTTCTTCGAGCTTCCTTTATATATAATATAGTCTGTCGAATTGTTTTTTAACAAACTTTAACATCACTCTCTTCTTCGAGCTTTTTCTAAAAATTATGTTCTCAGTACGCTTATTTATTTTGGGCTTTGGACCACCTCCTCGATTTAACACCAATCCCCCCTTGTTTCCGCTCGATTTAATGTATTGCCTTTCGTAAAACTGAAAACATTTGGTCTCACTTTTCCCCAACTGGCGGTTGCATCATAGGATAACCTTTTGCCTGGCTTTTTTAAATACTTTATTTCAATGCATTTTGTCATCAAATGATTCTGAATATAAAGCAAAAAAAGTAGAACACAAAAAACTAACGGTAGAGTAGGTTTATCTTCGTACACTGTATGAAGATAAACCTACTCTACACAATAAAAGAACAAGAGATGTGTAAAGAGTTATTTGACACTGCTGACACTGATCCATATTTTTGTTGAACTGTTATTTTTTATTATATACTAAATTTTAATTTGGTTGACTCTATATATTACATACTGTTCATGACCTCTACATAACATGTATCCCTACTAAGAAATATTATATAAAGTTGATTTTGATCCACTAACATCTTCACATCTGAAGCTATTGCCTAATTATCTAATCTAAGTGCATTCATTTATCAACCATCTACTACACAAGACCAGACTACCTAACAACTGAAAACTTCGTCCCCATTTAAGGGAACCCCCCCATTCTCGATTGTAATTTTTCAAGATTTTAAATGGGCTGGTAAATCAATACTAATGCTTGTGGAGGTTTGTAACTTTGCACATATATAATTGAAGATTTAAAAGAGAAGAAAAATAATTTACAAAAAAAATTTGTTATTGTTTTGTTGTTGTTTTTTGTAATTAAAGAAAAGTCCTTATTTTTGATGGCGGGCATGATAACTCCTCACTGGAACATCGGAATCCGAAAATTCCAACGGTGTTAGAAAGAGTACATGTCTGGCTCTCGTATGAACTAGGATTATAGACTTCGCTCTAAAATTAACAAAATGGTGGACCTTTGAAAAAATATTTTTGGAAAATCGCCGATTTTTTTACCAAAAACCAAGTTAAAAAATAAGGAAGATCTTCACCGATTGGCTTTATCCTAGTTCATACGAGAGCTATACACTCCCAGAGAAGCCTTGCAAAATTTGGAACCGATTGGATTATTAGTTTTTGAGTTACCGTGCCCGCCATTCGCAAAAAAATGTTTAGAGAAAAACTCGTTTAAAGTTTAAGAAGCCCTTCAGTCGTCACTTGATGTTGACACAATAAATCGGATATATCTTCAAGAGTTCTTGAGATTTTCACTTGAAATTTTGTAGGGACATTGTTTAATTAGTGTAGATTCGAATTATATCAACAACAATTTTGACCCCGAGAATGGGGGGGGGGGTCCCCTTAATGAAATAAAAGAGAAAGCATACATATAATACAGTGTATAGTTTCCTTCGCGATATACTGTAGTAATTTGCGTTTAAAGCTTAGACGAGACACTCATTTTATTAACCACATAAGCTTTCTTAATTATTTCATAATAATGATGTTGTTGTGGCAAAGAATATTAAATGTCAGTTTAATTGTGTATTTACTTTAGCTGCCGTGGTCTATTTTCCATTGATGAATAAATAAACGGTTAATTTTTGAGCACACTTCGTATTTATGCATTTGTTTAGTATTATTGCCTCATCTCTTTATAATATAGATCCTGTTTTTTCAACATGACAATTACAAATACAAATTCCTTATTATAATAGTCACCCTCTCTTCCCTTTACAGGTTGAAACAAGTTGCGATATGTATCGTGCCGTTATGGAAGAAGTTGCCAGGTTTCTTGAACGTTATCAGAAACAACGTCAAATCCAACAACAAAAGCAACAGCAAGATAACATGGAAAAAATGTCCAGATCGAAAAGTCTATATCAAGTTAATAGCCCTAGCGAAGCTCATGACAAATCAATGCAATTATGCCCCGAAAATGATTCATCCGCTTCGTACCTCCGAGTACGAAGCAGTACAAATCTAATTGATTTGAAACAAAATGAATGTAAAAAGAATAACAAGTCATCGAATGCGAAGACAAGCGGATGCCACAGTAAAGACGATCATAATTTTGAGACAAGTCTGGCACCATCTCAATCGTATAGTGCATTTAAGGATTTCACCTGGTAAGTTGACAAAGTGATCCGTTTGTTAACATCCAAATAATTTGTGTTTTTTTTTTCGTATTTTCATCTGCAGGAGACGCTCACCCAAGAAATCAAATGATTCGAAATCACACAGTGTCCGTGATGATGCCGATGAAAAACTAAGTCAAGAAGCATTTCGTCTCCATCGCACAATTCAAAATCTATTGAATACATCACAGCATCAAACTGAGCTATTGCACCCGCCGCCGCAGCAGCACCATCATCACCATCAGATGCAACGCCAGTCTTTGGCTGCCTGTGGTGGTGTGAATCGTATATCGAAAGCCATGTCCACCACATCAGTGGCCACATTGCCTGGAGCACCCATGCATAATTCCACCAGTCTAACACTGGCCACGAATTGTGCCGCCTCAACTTCATCCGATTCATCGGCAACTTCGCCCACCATTGCCGCCACATCCAACACTCTTGCCCCTGATATGTTATTCTTACGTTCCGCCAATATGCGTGATTCCCGCCTATCATTGCGCAGCTCCACCGATAGTTCGGTACATTCCACCTCATCATCGGTTGCTTCATCGGCTTCTTCGAAAGTGGAAACCGATGAAGAGCCAACAACGCCATTTCATTCACCACCAAACATGCTGGCCCAACATAAACCCCACATCATGGCGGGTTCCAGCACCGAAGATGAAAGTGGTTTCAGTTCGATAAGCTCATTTCCGGACATTGGAGTGCCACACAACTCCACCATGTTGGCCGGCAAGCCTCCACAAAAATGTCGAAATGCCAAAGGCAATGAATTGAAATCCTTCAAAGCCAACAATGACAGCAAGCAGCAAACCCAACAACAGTCAACAGCCGATAATGCGGCGAATGCAACTCTAAAAGCCAATGTTGTTGGGCTGCCATTAAACTCCTCCCAGGATATGTCACATCGTTGGGATACAACACCCTCGAAAACGTATCACAATGCCAGCACGAAATTTCAAAGATTTTCAGCATTATCGAATAATGAAGATTCGAATACTGTTCTATGGGTATAATTTCAAAATATGCACAGATTTCGAAATTCTCCACAGAGTGGATGACGTCGTATTCTATTTGTTAGATTTAATTGTGTACTCTATTCTATTCTATTCTGTTGCATAATTTGTGCCTTTTCATAAATATATTCTATCTTCTTTCATTTATTATTTATTATTATTAATATTGTTTTATGAAAAAATCTATATTTTGTGAGTGTGTATATGTATTATTTATAAGTTTCGTTTGTTAACATTGAGAAATGAAGCATTTAAATGATTTTTTTCGTAGATTTTTTGAAGAAAAATCATTAATCATTTTTATTTTATGAATATTATTTAGATATAAGCTTTGGATGTATTATATAAAATTATATTTGTATGTTTTTCCGTTTTTTTCTTTTTAGAATATTAAAGATAGTTATATGAAGTGTTTAAAATTGTGTGGTGTTTTATTTCAAAGAATATAGTATGGTGAACAAGTTTCTATTTAATTTCTGAACATTAAACCGTTGAAATATTTTAGTAAATTTTTAATGACGGATCCCATACGCCTTTGGAACTGTTCGATGTATTTTTTCTCTAATACCTTTACATCGCCATGGTCTTTTATTTTATTCCAAAGAACGTTTGAAGATTTCGATACTGAAATCCACCTTGACTTTATCCGACGATCCTGTGCATAGACATGATAAGCATGTTTACTACCACTCTTCGCATTCAACGACTCACAGTTGTTACAGTTCAGGTTGGAAAAGAAGGGCCTTTGTATGGAAGGCATGTAAAAAACAGGAACCTTATATTGAACCGAGAATCCGGAATGCCAAATTACAGCCATTTCGAAAATAAAACCATACAAATACGGAAAATTTATCGGATCCTTCGTGTAGGGGTTGTGCCCAAATATGTACCTATATTGAACATTTTCTAAAACCATATTTTTCACCGTCAAAGAATTCACTTCGGTGGGAAAATGCGAATAAAATCTTCGAAATATTGAAAATGGGTCTGGGTACCGTTATATTAGGAACCGACATTGATATTTTTTTGGAATGCAGATTTGCAGAACCTATAAATCAAATATAGATAATTCGGTTGAAAACGTGACAAAGGTTTATCAAAAGAAGTTATATGAGGGCTACACCGAACACTTTGGTTATTTGGTGCACCATTTAGACGAAATGATGAATGGAAAATGTATCTAAATCCGAATCGATATCCACTAAACTCTCTCATTAAAGCCGTTTCTCCGACAGAGGGGTCTACGATCAGAAATGACCCGAGTTGTACTCGGCCAACGTCTGTCATCTCAGCTAATTGGGTAAAAGTAATAGGGCTGCTACAACAACAAGAACTCATTAAGCTGAAGGCCTGGCCTTTTACAGTAGACGCCAACCCCTGTACATTCTTCCATCTTGGATCCGTCTGTATGTTGTTGATTACCAATAGCTACTATAGCAACGATGAGAGCACCCCGCCCTGAGTTGTACCTCTTGTTACTGTTTTGCTGAATTTTGTATCCCCAACATTTGAATTTATAATTCTGCTATTTAGCATAGTATCTATCCAACAAGTAAAGGGGTTTCAGGAATGCTATTTTTTTAAGTAACTGGTTTACGGACTCAAGTTTAACGTTGTTGTAAAGTTCGATTTTTTCATATTCCTCTCAATATAACTTACCACTTCATGCAGTGCAGATTCCACAAACTTGCGATTTGCTAAGAGAGGTAGTGTCTACACGACTCCTAATCTCTACGTCGATCAGTCTTTCGATGGTCTTGAGGAGAAAGTATGATATGCTAATGGGTGCAGAGTGGCTTGGTTTACCCGCTTTGGGAATGTATGTAACCTTTACCTCGTTCCATAGACCCGGAACGCACGAAAGAGACGAAATCGCACGAAATGATGAATGGAAAATGTATCTAAATCCGAATCGATATCCACTAAACTCTCTCATTAAAGCCGTCTACGATCATAAATGACCCGAGTTGTACTCGGCCAACGTCTGTCATCTCAGCTCATTGTGTAAAAGCAATAGGACTGCTACAACAACAAAAACTCATTAATCTGAAGGCATTTCACAGTAGACGCCAACCCCTGTACATTCTTCCATCTTGGATCCCTCTGTATGTTACTGTATCTTGTTACTGTTTTGCTGAATTTTGTATCCCCAACATTTGAATTTATAAATCTGCTATTTAGCATAGTATCTATCCAACAAGTAAAGGGGTTTCAGGAATGCTATTTTTTTAAGTAAGTGGTTTACGGACTCAAGTTTAACGTTGTTGTAAAGTTCGATTTTTCCATATTCCTCTCAATATAACTTACCACTTCATGCAGTGCACATTCCACAGACTTGCGATTTGCTAAGAGAGGTAGTGTCTACACGACTCCTAATCTCTACGTCGATCAGTCTTTCGATGGTCTTGAGGAGAAAGTATGATATGCTAATGGGTTTATAATCCTTTGGTGCAGAGTGGCTTGGTTTACCCGCTTTGGGAATGTAAGTAACCTTTACCTCGTTCCATAGACCCGGAACGCAAGAAAGAGTCAAGCACTCCTTATAGATCTTCTCAAGGATCAGATATATACTTGGCGAGGCAATTCTAAGCATTGCCGGTGTGTTACCATCTGGCCCTGGTGATTTATATGGTTTGAATGTGTTGACGGCTCAGCGTATCTTATTTCTGCTAACCACCTTGCCAATGAGATCCAAATCTATAGTCGCATGAGGTTTAGTGTTATCACATTCAATATTGATGGTATCCACATCTTTGCAACCTGGAAAATGGGTTTCTGCTAGGAGGTTAAGATTCTCAGAACTAGAGATCGTCCACAGGTCAGGCCTTTGAATCTTTTTCCGTTGCCAGGTTCTCGATAGATTCCCCATTGTCGGACATCGCTTCAGTCGCGGTGTGCCTTTGAAGCTTATTGTCGGCATTTGCCGACACAGGACCTGTTGAATTCAGACTTGTATTCGGTCAGTCAACAGGGTCTACACTTCCTTCGTTGATGCTGCAGCAATCCTCCTGTGTAGACTTGGCCGGAATCTCATCATCAGTCAGGGTAAGATTTAGTAGCAGTTCCTACGGAATTGTATCCACACTTTGCTCCTCTGGTACAAGCCTGTCCAGTTGGTTGAAGAGTTCCCTACTCTGTTCCTCTTGACTATCGCGGATAGCACTAAGGTTCCCATGTAGATCGTCCCAGTAGTGGACTGATTAGTATCAGTCTTGACTAGCTCGTTTTCCATTTGAATTGCCGTGTCATTTTTCTGCAGCTGTACCTGCGCTTGTAGCATGTACAGCTGCAGATGCCAAGGTATCCATACCTACAGCAGCCGGATCACAATCGTTTGATCTCGACGACACGTGGCTTGTGGTCTCACCAAGGATTGCCGCCGGTACTGGGTTATTAACTCATTGCACCGTAACTTTATATCTCCTGTTCTTTTTAACCATCTTAGCTAATTATTTCTAGGGCACTACCCCGATTCATTTTGGTCCATGGAGATCCGAAGATCCCCAAGGTTTCCACGAAGTGTATAGAAAATATCCCGCCTAGTTTGAACTAGGTCAGCTCCACCCTGCACATCGTAGAAAACACTTTCACATCCGCCACCCGGAAAGACGCGCTTAGTATGAGATTGGCAACTCTCCTGGGATGGGGGCTATACCTAAACTAAACCGATTTCTATAAATATTTCGTCTCAATCGGACAAATGGAGATTAGGATGTGTGGTGCACCATTTACCTAAAATCGGACGCGTTATTCCAGACTCAATTCAATACGATATGCAAAATTTCGTCTCAATCGAACATATATTGGGACATCAGACACAAATATGTATGGGAGCTATATCTAAATCCAAACCGATTTCAACAAGACTCAAATCTATACGATATGCAAAAATCAGACCAAAATATCTATGAGAGCTAAGTAAAAAATCTGAACTAATTTCCACGGAACAAATATATGTCAGTATAACTTTACTACCTATTAGAAAATAGATGGCTTTCAGATATTGATTGAATCTAGACCACATTTTGGGAATTTTTTTTTAAATGCATTTAAATTGGACAATTTTTTTTAATTTATGGAAAAGTATGTTGATATTGCTGGGAAAATTATTTTAAATGCCATGCTCGAGTTTATCATATAGCACTAATTTCTCCCAATAATTTATTCTTTAGCGCTCCTTCAAGTGATTATCCAGATGAAATCTCCCTTTCCACAAATGACAAAACAATAAATTTTATACATCAAAATTGTAATTTTATTAACTGAATCATATACAGTTACCAATATTTATGTTCACAATTGTTTTTCATATGGGTATTAAAGTCTGAAAATGACAAATTATTTTTATTTTGAGGTACACAAAAAATACAGATTTTATTTTAACTAACCACGTTACTGTTTCAATTATATTTTATATTTGTTTTTATTACGAACATTTAAACATCTCATTAAACATAAAGTTTATTTTGATATAGAATATGTTGAGGAATATTATTGATTGGTTTGTATTATTTTCTGATATTACCTGACATTAATGTACTATATAGTAAAAATATATTATTGGTAAAACCTTAAGTAAAATAATTGTTCGGGATGGATTCCCATGGATTTGTATATATATAAAATTTATGTACAATGCTAGATAGACATTACAAATTGGACAAGTCTTGATATATCTATATATACTAATGCTTATATTTGAGCAAGTTTTTGTTTTGTTTTTGTTACAAGACACTTTTTTTCATTCCCTATGTGGTCCTTTTTTATTAAATATATGTAGATATTAAAGAAACCGAAAAAGTCTGCTCCTAGCGAAAAAGCTGTCTTTCAAGCTATGGAATTTTGAATTGTGTTTAAAATGAAATCTATGATACTATTGTGAATTATCACAATTTTTATGTTTTAATAAAAAAAAATTATATGTATAGCTAAATTAAACTATGACTTTAGTTCCAAATATATGTATATACGAAATTAAAATCTCTCTTAAAAAACGAAGACAATTTATAAGAGTCCTTTAAAAAAATTGTAATGAAAGTAGTATTGTTGGTAGTGCTTAATAACTGCTTAGAGATTACGTTAAATGTTATATGTATGTATGTACGTTGCTAGTATTTAAAATACTTTAGGAAAGCAAAATCTTACATGCAAAAAAAGAAACACTGAGTAGCTCTTCTTCCTTTTTTTCATCGAATAAAATAAAATTAATCATTTACACGGGCAGAAAACATATTGGGCTCTCTATCTCGAATCTTATATTATACGTGGGGGGTTTGTTTGTCTTACTAATTTATAGTGTCATGTGGAAACGACACTGGGACGCCAATTATTAATAATAAGAGATATTAAAAATAGAATTATATAATTTAGTTGTTTTTGTTTTTTCATAAGAACAGATAGAGTATTAAAATTGTTGCAGCAACAACAGACACAATGCAAATAGTTGCTGCAGCAAGCCATCAGAGGGCGGCTCAAATACGCCCAACACTGCTTATACTTGAATTAATATTTTTGCGAGTCGGCTGTACAGACATTGGTGGTACTAAAACTTCTGAATGTGTTGAGGGTGAACTGCTGCGCATTCCGGAATTATCATCATCGACAACTTCCTGTAAATGAAAAGAATAGAAATAGGAAATATTTAGATTTGTAAATTTATAAAAAAAAAACAGTTTGGAATGTAGTAAAATCGGCCTGTACAGACTATGTACAGACTTTGGGTATATTCAACATATGTATCCTAACAGACATCGCCTTTTCGAAGGAATATTTACATGGAATTGAACGAACTTAAATATGTGATATTTATCCACATGTGAACCGACATCAATCCAAACATGTGCCATTCTGCAAGCTATGCTAAATTTCATTTCATTCGGGCAGATTTAGAGTCGTTTACGTACAATGGGACTAATCGATTTAAAGCAAACTTGATACACGCTATTCGGTATGCCACACTGTTCAAGATATCTAATCTGAACCAACTTTCACGAAAATTAGCACACATCACTCCAGACTTAATTCAGTTCGCAAATCAAAGGATATATAGGGGCTTTGGTGCTCCATTTACATAAAATCGGACGAAAATATATTTGGGACCTATATCTAAATCTGAACCGATTTTCACCAAACTTAACATTCGTCTAGACTTAATTCAATACGCTGTGTTAAATTTCCTGCAAATCGAAAGATATATAGGGACTTCGGTGCACCATTTACATTAAATCGGACGTAAATATGTATGGGAGCTATATCTAAATCTGAACCGATATTCACGAAACTTGACACACATCATTCTAGACTTAATTCAGTACGCTGTGGTAAATTTCCTGCAAATCAAAAGATATATAGGGACTTCCGTGCACCATTTACATTAAATCGGACGTAAATATGTATGGGAACTATATCTAAATCTGCACCATTTACATTAAAGCGAACTTAAATATGTAAGGGAGCTATATCTAAATCTGAACCGATTTTTTCCAATTTCAATAGAGTTCGTCCTTGCGCCAAATAAATGAGCTTTGCCGAATTTCATCGAAATCGGATCATAAATGCGACCTGTGCTACAATTTAACATGTATACCCTCCAACCATGAGGTGCACATTCATAATACATAAAATCGATATGGACTTTTTTTATATGGGTGCAGGAAGATTTTCTACCAATCCCAAATATAAAATTATAGACATTTCGATTAAAAAAACGTGCCTAAATATCGACATATGGGTGAAATCGTTATACAAGGACCTAAAAAGTGGGACATTTGAAATTTGAAAATTTTTGTTAAAATTTTTGTTATAAGAATTTGATATTGGGGGTTATGCCGATTAATTAGATCTTATCAATGGCAATCAAAAATTTCAAAACTGTATCTCTCTCTCTCACACACATTTTGCAATTGTTTTGCAATTCGGTATTGAAAAAACTTTTAAAAATTCCAACAAATATTCTCTTTAAAATTCCAAATATATTTTTTTTTTCAGGATATAACTCGATTTTTTGTTTAAATAAAATTTACATATAAATTGGCTTTACCTCCTCCCCTATCATCACATAAATGCATACATAAAAATACGAATGTATTCTTCATTACCCTCATTTTAAAATGGAATTTATTCAAATGCAAAATAAAAATAATCGAAAAAAATGTCTATTCAAATAAATGTTTAATACTTACATGGATGTTTGTACAACTTGCCAAACGCATTTGTGCTAATTGAGAGGCGGGTGTCAAGGAATTTGTACTGCCAAATGGTGATGTCATCATTGTTGATACAGCGCGTTTCAATTTGGAAGGGGTTTTGTTGAATGAAAATGCGCGCCCGACCTAGGTAGAGTAAATAGTTTCTTTAATTTAGATGTATGGTTAACACAGACAGACACACATCAGTGGTTGTATCGAAAAATAAAAACGTAAAAATCAAATGTTAGATAAACAACAACCACGTCAGCATAAAATAACAAATAAAACACAATATAAATATATGGCATGCAAATATATAGAACACCACATACTAATGAAGCAAATACAAAAAAAAAACGGAAAACAAAATTCAAACCCACCTTCAAACGGGTACGTGCCGCCAATTTAAATGCTTTCGATAGGGTACTTAAGTTTACATCACTAATATCCACTTCCAATTCCTGAGAAGTCCGACATAGTAAGGCTTTATCCTAAAAATCGAAGAATAAAAACAAATCGAATTATTAAACATTTCCCTTTCTACTCTTCACAAATTCCACTAAACAACCTACCGTATCTGTGCGACAAGCATTCTCTGCCATTTGCTTGCAAAGCGTTTTCAAGTACATCACTTTATCGATTTCCTCATCGGTAATGGTGAATGAATGCAATTTGTCCTTATCCTGACGACAAAGCAAGGCAAATGCTCTCGGGCTATCCGTTATGTCGATGACAAAACGTATGGCATTTAGGGACATCAATTTGATGTGCTTATATGATTTGGCGGTGCTTGGCGATTTGGCACTATTAAAGCCACGTGAACGCTTCTTACACACTTCAATGGAATCGGAAAATAAGTACAAAACCAAGTGATCACCACGACCACTGAGACTATCAGTAAGTTCAGAGACTTCACAGCGAGATATGAAATTACGATTGGAGCTAACTAAGTGGGCCTAAAAGAAACAAAACGAAAAAGACAAATATTTAATTTACTTTCATGAATACAATTGCATGCTCATTTACTTACCGGACAACCTTCAATATCATTGAATATATCAAATATGGCCATACGCGATTCTGTCTTTCGCTTATCCTCATTAATGTGCATCATTACAACACGAATGGCCTTAAGGGCCTCCTCCAATCGGGCATAATCTGGATTACTTTTATTGGTATGTTTAAGTATGTCATTCAACAGCAAACTTATACTGGGTAATCGCTGTACTGGTCTTATCATCAGATCCTGTAATGTCTGACGTCCACATTCTGGTTTGGTTTGATTGATTTTCAAAAAAGCATGAAAACGTGGATTTTGTGTATCACACTGTATCAGTGTCTCTTTCATTTGCTCAAAGAAATTAACATAGGGTGGATAGGCTTTTATTAGATCATCTTGATGTTGGAGAATAATATCACCGATTAGACAATCTTCACTCCATTTATTGTGTATGGCCCGTAAACGTTCCAACATTCGCTGATGTACTTCATGTATGGGTAGGAAATTACCAAAAATTGCTTTGATTTCGGATTTATTCAACAGTGCATCACTTGATTCGGCAATTTCTTCGAGGGGATTTTTGAAGAGCTGGAAAAAAAAAGATTTATTTATTATTTTTTATTATTGTTATTTTTTGTTATTAATCGAAAATGAAATAGTTTTATTTTAGAAATGAAATGTGAAGCTCGAGCCGATGGTTTTCAGCATATTCGAATGTAATGTACCAGTAAGAAAAGTAGTAAAGTCGGACTGGGCCTACTATATGATGCCCTTCACCAGTGCCCTTCACCAGTAAAGTAGTAAAGTCGGACTGGACCAAGGTAGATATATACCTTAATATACCTTGGACTGGGCCTACTATATGATGCCCTTCACAACTTTTTGTAAATTCTACATATTCATCCTAAGAGACGTCGCCTTTTCGAAGGAACATTGACATGAAATTGAACGAACTTAAATATGTGATCATTATCTATATGTAAACCGACTAATATCAATATGCCATTCTGCAACTTAAAACAAACATGACACACGCTATTTGGTATGCTTTACTGTTTAAAATTTAATCTCAATCAGACACCCATTAATTATTTGGTGTACAATCGACATGAATATGTTGTAATTATATATGGAAGCTAAATGTGAGCCGATTTCAATGAAACTTGCTACAGTTTTCTTATAAAATTTAGCTTTTTTAATATGAAAATTCTCGATATTTCAAGTTATTTTTTTATTACTATACTTACATTCACAATAGTATCCAAGATGCCAACATAATTCGATTCTGTACTAAAGAAATCCATAAAATGATTGAAACGCATCGATGCCTTTTTACCCGGTGGTGTTTGCTGTTCACATGTTGATGTTTCGGGTTCTGTGAGTATTGTACCATTTTCCAATTTATTCGGTGTACCGCTACAATCAAAGAAACTACCCGATGCTGACAGCAGGCCAGCATCCGAAACCGATGAACGACGTTTGGTTGAACCCAAGGGTGTACCCTCTAACTGGATGCGTTGGGAGAAACGTTTGCGTTTACGTTTATTAAAACTTATCGGCAATGAATCACGACGATCGGTATTGGGGGTATTGGCAATGCTATCCAAATACTAGAAAACAAATTATAAAATATTTTTAGTTAAATAATTTAATAATAAAATGCGTAATCTACTTACATCCCCAAACAGATAATCCATTTCATCGGCATAACCATTTTGTATGGTATACCAAAACCAATCCGATTTTAAAATATGTGTACGATTATTTTTGGGTTCGGGTTTTTGTTGGGTACTATGCTCATCAACGACCTATGAGGAAATTGGAGAACATCATCATAATTAGCATATTTATTTTGCAATAAATTTGAAAATAATATTTTGGAAATTTGAATTTTCAACACAAAACACATATTGCTTGGAACGTATTACTTTTTTATGATTATTTTTATTCGTTTACTTGAATACTTGAATGTATTTATGTGCAAACAAAAAACATTTTGTTTTGATGGTTTACATTGGAATACTTTTATGAACAAATTTCAAGTTCAATAAAAACGCAATTTGTGGAGACTAGAAACTAATTAATAGAAATTGTGAATCAGATAATTTTTTGTAAAAAAAAAAAAAAAAAAAAAAAAAAAATTGTTTTTGAACCAAGAAGATCAGTAATATACAAATATTGTGCGACTGGGTCAAACTTGTTATACCCTCCACCATGAGTAGCACACCTTGGATACAGAAAAAAAGGGTTATTAAATGAGGGCATACTGACCTTACGGGTCAGTGATTTATGAAATATTTTACTATATACTGCAGATATTAAGTTTGAGATTTGTAAAATTGAAATCTAATAAGACTTAGGCTTTTCATTATTATTATTTTCATTATATAGGACGTCATAATGTCCTATATACATTGGTGGCCAGAACTAAAGCAACTAAAATTGCAAGGTTATTAAATGCTGCATAACTTTTTCAAAAAATAAAAAGATATTGCGTTGGTATTTTCATTTTTAAATCGGGTACTTTATTCACAAAACAAAAGCATAAACGCAATATTCATTTTGAAATAAATTATTTATGGATAAGGGAATTGTCTCAATTTTTGCTTGGACAAAACTAAAGCAACACATCAATAAAAACATATATGAGCTCTAAAATTTTAGTTATTTTTATCGTTATAATTACTATGTGTTGGTTTCTACACCTATTTCGATTCATATAAATCATTTTAAATGGATTTTATTACAATAACATGTGTCTGGTTTTCAATTTTGACTTACTGCAAACAAAAACAGTACTCCAATAAAACAGATCATTTCTAGTGATTGTGAAAATAATCTATCACAGAAAATGTTTTCGGAAAAATATTCCATAAATAAATCACCGATTTCTCGAATTATAAGTTGATTATATGCAACTATATCAGTAGAGACAGTTCAGTACGGAGGAAGGCTTCAAAAGAACATCAGTTCGTACTGATCAACAAGTTGTCACAGCATTAAAAAAATACCCGTTTAAGATTTCAACGGAGTTTCTGAGGCGGTTATCGTTGTATATAACATGAAGAACCGAGCGTGGATGAGCTATGGTAGCAGGCATACATGCCTGGACGAGTTCGATATATTTACGAAATTTATGAAATAATGAATCGGATTGTCGCTGAAGAAAATATACCGCTTGTTTGGGTGTTTCAGCAAGACAATAACCTCCAAACATACACCAAAACATGTCAAAGATTGGTTGTTGGAGTAAAAAATGAGAGTTTTATAATGACCAACAAATTTTTGAGATCTTTACCCTCTAGAAAAATCGTTGTAGTATCATAGATAGTAAAATCAAAAGAGTTTCACAAACAAACAGACATAACCTCTTCCCAAAGGTTCAGGATGCAAGGAATAGTATACCCAAGAAACAAATTGAGCATTTTATTGACTCAATGTCTCGTAGGTGTACTGCTGTAATGAAAAATATTGTTTATGCTGTTGATTACTAGCAAAATTTGATTATTTACAAGAAGAAAAAAAAAGTTGCATTAGTTTTGACCAAGCAAAAATTGGGTCAATTTAGTTTTCCATATATTTTTTGTATTTCAAAATAAATTTTGCGTTTTGTTTTTTTTAATAACTTCATTTTCAAAAAAAGTGTTGCAGGTCTTTTATTCAGTTTGCAATTTCAGTTGCTTTAGTTTTGATCACCAGTGTACATACATAATATACAATATACTCTTGACCCTGTCCTTTGTTTTGTGTATACATTTAAACGTAATTCATAATGTGTTTTGTGTTGATCATAAAAATTTCAAATAAATAAAAAGAAATGAAAATTGTTTAAAAAATGTGAGAAATTAAAAATATTTTTAAATAATGTTTGTTTTAAAACAATTGTTTGAATATCTTGTTTTAATTTTTTGCTCGATTTTTTTGCTTTAACGATCACATGGTAATTGGTTAAGTGCTTTGCAAAAAAAAATTGCTATAGACAAAACAAAAATTAAACGGAACGTGAAACACATGACAACGAAAATGCTGATGCTGAAGGCAGAATTAGTATAACAATAAAGGAGTGTGTAATAAAAGAGAAACCATAAAAAGTCTATGTATTTGAAATAAATTTGAAATTTAAAAAAATGTTGTTATAATTTTTTTGATTAACAATTTGTGCTCACCAATACATGTTCTTTATTAGTATCCTTATCGTTTTTTTGTTGTGCGATTTGAAATGTGCAATTGAAAGAGTAAATAAGCATTTGATTTGACAACTAGTTTTAGCAGAACAAAATTCAACAAGCACATAAAATTATAATTTCAGGTTTTAAATATTTTAATAGAGAAAAAAAAACAAAGAAATTCAGCCATTGTATTTTAAAAACAAAAACATTTTTTAAACAATTTCCAATTAAACTATAATAAATTAGGGCAAAAAGAAATGTCTATGATAATGTCTTAATAAAATATGGAAAACATATTTTTTAGATTTATTTGATAATAACGATTTATATTTAAAATTTTGCCCTTAGTGTAATTTGCTAAGCATTTTTAACATTTACAAATTACAATTTTCTTCATTTTATACAACCAACTGAATTTGTTTGTTTAAATGTATTATATTATAATTTACTGTGCTGTGTTGTTTAGAGAATGTGTAAAAAAGAGGATGTTACCACCAAACCACCATTGACAGAAAAGATAACTTAAATAAAATTTTATTTACATAGAAAACAACAAAAAGTGCAACAAACACACAACAAATGGTGTTTTGTTATTTACAAGCATCAGTAACCAATTTTGTTTTATTAATTTATTTAGCTATGTGTATATGAAATGATTTTGTTTCGATTTTTTTAATTCTGGTATGAAAATGATGATGTTAAAAATGCACTGCAAATTACAAAATAAAAAAACTTCAGACGCAAAAATACTATTTTTTATTCATTATTATAAAAAAAATGTATTATCTTTGACAGGTCTAAAAAAATATTAAACCCATCAGCAGCAAGAATGAAATTTAAAGTCGGTGAAATAAGCGAAATAAAGTAGAAATTAATTGAAACGGCCATAAAGAATGAATATTAACGAATAATAAAAACCAATAATGGAAGATTACGAATCCGGAAGATTTGGCATGACATTATTCTAACCTCGAAATATCTAAACGCTAAGTTACAGCGAAATCGGTTAGAAAATTTGGAAAGCCCCATTGATTTTCCTGATGCGAAAGCTAGGCGGAATTCTTACGGATTTCGGTAGTGTCCAGGAGGAAATGTCCAAATACTGAATATATCGGTTACAGTGGGCATCAAATAAGGCGTAAATTAGACGTTCTTACGGACGTTCGGTGTTGGTGTTGAGGCAACTTCCACCACAATTTTTTCTGAGGTAGACGCTCTTTCGAATGGTCCATGTGTCTGTTGAAGCATCGGAGATAGATTATGATTGAGATAATACATTTTCATTGACAACTTATAGTCCGGACAGAAATATCGAAAGGGATCTAGCAGCGCATACCTGATTTGTTATATATTTCATTTTTATATAAACTATTTTAAAGATATATTTTATTTTTAAAATATGTCTTTTTTTTAAATATTTTACTTTTCTAAGGCCGATTCCAAACTGTAACTAGCGAATATTGTATAATGCTCATTGACCAATTTTTTCCTATTCAGGAAACTAATAGGAAATAGATTAAATCGAATTTCCGATTCAGTCAATTTCCCACATTTTTATTAACGAACTGCCTATCCTTAAACATCCTATGTTTTCCAAATTTTTGTATCAAGACATCACAATTTGTTTCTCTTTGCCAGCCATTAACAACTCTCTACATTTGGCATTTAAAATGAAATATAAAGAAACAACAAATAATTTAAATACCGAATTTATAGCCGTTGTTGTTGTGCCAGCAGCAGCAGCAACATTTATATCCACATTTGATGGCAAATGATTTCCTGATTGTTGCATTTGTTTTTGCAAAATGTCATGATGTTGAATTGTAGACGATGATGTTTGTTGGTTACTTTGCATTAAAATATTGTTAGTAGCAGCGGTAGAAGTGTTAAACTGATTAGCAACTAAACTCATATTTTTACAATCAGCCGGTAAATTAGAAGAGGTATTCATTTTTTGCAAGAAGGAAGAATTTGTGGGAGGACCATTGGGAGGACCATCAATGGTTGTAAGATTTAATGATTTATTACACAATTTAGAAGTTGATGCTGTTGCCGAGACTGATAGGGATTGGCTAATGGATCTTGTTGTGGGTCTAGGTGCTGAGGCACAATTGTAGGCATATTTTGAGGGTGCTTTTGGTGTTTTGAAATCTTCTTTCTCATTTTGCTGATCACCGGCGCCATCTGTAGTAGTATCTGCTTCTTCGTTTGCATTAGTTTTCGGATTATGATTACTAACAACATATTTTTCACGACGACTGCTGCTCCTGGTAATACGATTACGCAGACTGCGCAATTTCTCCTTAACCGGTTTCCTTATAGATTCATTGAAAGTGCTTTCAACAGAAGCAATCGAACAAAATGAATCATTAGCATCATTTTCATTATTATCCTCGTTATCATTGTCCAGATCCTTATCGTTGTTAGGTGCTGAATCCAGGGCCACTGAACTACGTCTGGGTCTGAGCATCTTCGCAATGGGAGTGCGTACAGCAACAAAACTCATAGAACGTTTTATGGTACGTGATATGGAACCAGTACGCAAAAGTTTAGGTTTTTTGGTACTGGCCGGTAGGGCAAATGATTCAACGGACATTAAGGATATACTATCCAAACTTTCTCGTTTACGTTTCAGTTCACGTTGAGCCTCGTCTAATTCGGCATCTGCATCTAAATCTTCTGCATCCATATCCATGGCAAAACAGGTATCATCTGTTTGAGTTTTAGTTAAATTCACATCTTCTTGAACTTTGCTGCTGCATATTGGTGAAATAGTGGAGGAATTATCCTGAAATCCATTGCAAGTTGTATTTGTTAGCATACTAAGTTTACGTTCCAATTGCTTAGATGGCAGAAGAGCCGAAATGTGTTTTGATGATTTAGGCGTACTGGCATGCGAATTAACATCTTTGGTTTGTGGCAAAAGTTTTTCATCAACATCATCATCCGTGAGTGGTATTAAATCGTTAACCAAATCATCATCATAGTCATTTTGTTTTAAATTGCACTCATAATCAACAACTAAACGTTCATCGAAATGTCCTCCTTCGTCGTCGTCGTCATCATCATCGTCGTCATGGTCATTTACGCCCTCCTCCTCATCGCTGTTATCTCCATTGGATTTTTTATCATTTACTAATGGATTATTATTCTCACACATTTCCAATGGCTTTGAGTCACCACCAACACCATCACCACCATCAGCCTCACCTTCAACATCAACTTCCATTTGATTTTCATCATCATCATTGGTATTTAAAGAAATTGCTTTTTTAGGAGTTTGGTTAGTTTGAATTTTAGATGAATTGTTAGTATTGAGATTATTTGCATTGTTATTATTAGTAATTGTTTCTGGAAAGTAACCACCAGTATTTGGCATAACCTGTAAAATTTAAAATTGTATTTGTATTTAAATTCATTACCTACACATATATATTAAGTTATATACAAAACATTTAAATATTTATTTAAAAAATTTATATAGCTGGTGCATTGAAAGCAATAAAACGCCATTAAGTTAACGTGAGTATTTTTGTAAAATTGACTTACCACATGCGAACATTCCGGATCATCTAATTCTGCAGGTACGCCACCATTACTTTTCAGCACATCCACCATGTGTTGATGTTCATCGGCTGGAAATCCGAAAAAGCAAATTTTCTGTCCCTCAAAAGCTTTCAGTTTATGTTCTTTGGAAAATTCTTCTGTGGTTGCTTTAAATTGTGGATCATCTCGTCGTTCCCATGCAGCATATACCCAATTTGGACGTACCACAGTTAAACGAAAGGTTTTTGCGTATCTATGAGAGAAGAAAAATGTTAATAAATATATATTTATAAATTAATTAAATTATTTATAAATTTAACATATTCATGTGATAATTTTTAATTTCTAGTATCGATCGACTGATGTTTCTGAAATGGGTACTAAGCTACATCACTCGTTTATTCAATATCCTCCCTCCGCTCCCTCCTTTAGCATTGCAAATATCAGTATAACATCAACAAAGTCTTCGAGCGGAGTGGTCTCTAAATTGTTACGATCACCGGGCATAATTTTACCGAATCAAACATTCACACATGTAAATGTATATGATTAACATATATACGAGATCGGTTATAGGTCAAAAAGGCCGATATTTTCACCGGTTCGGATTGTCAAGTTCAATTGTGGTATAACTGGTTTAAAGAAGACCGAGAATATCTCGTACTGTTCGCCCGAGCACGTGAACAAACGACTAATAAAATTGAAGCAACATTTAGATGCTCGTTGAATCAGAGGTTTTGCAGATGATATAGCGTAACACTTTTTACGGATGTTTGAGGCATGAAAAGTGCGGCAGCGAAGATTGATTCAAAATTGCTAAATTATGAGCACCAATAACGTCGTATGAACATCGCTCTGAAGCTGTTGAGTATTAACGATGACCAAAAGCACTCATAAAGAGGTGACGAATCAGGGGTGCATGGCTATGACATTAAAACTAAAGCCCAATCATCCCAATGGAAACGTCCAGAAGAGTCAAGACCGAAAAGGCTCGTTGGCTCGTTCAAATTTGAAGGTTTTGCTCAATGTTTTCTTCGCGGTGAATCATGAACTCTTCCCACAAGGTCGTACTTTCAATGCGGAATACTACTTTGAAAGTTATGAACTCTTTGCGCGTAGAAATTCGTCAAAATTGAATTTAATACATCCATGAAAGTTAAGACGTTTTTCTAGGATTGAGGGGATAAATGAAAAATTGAAACTGGAATAGCTGACTAATCAAGGGCGTATGGCTTGGCATTAAAAAAGCTCCTAAGTTCGTTCAAATTTGAAGGCTTTGCTCAATGTTTTACCTTTCAGGTGAATCATGAATTTGTGAGTAGCAATTCGTCAAAATTGTAAACAGAATTGGGTACCATTTGTTTCTAGGATTGAGAAGATAAATGAAAAATCGAAACTGGAGCAGTTGGTCATACCAAAAAGAGCGTTTCAGAAATGTTTCGAGCGTTGGGAAAAATCGCTGGCAAAAGTGTTTTATATCTGAGGGGGTTACTTTTATACATAAATATAAAATAAAAATATATATCCAAATAAATACTTACTGATACTTATCACCACCACTGTGTGAACTAATTAAATGGGTTATTTTGGAATTCATATCCTTTCGTATACAACCGCCCATTGAATGGATCAAATTGACCAGTTTTGTCTACAAAAATAAATGAAAAATACAAAATTAATATAAAATAATAATTAAACTGAATAAATTCATCGATGGACATTTACAAAACTCACCAATTCATCTTTTTTGCGTATGCCAGTAAAGCATGTAACCACACCACGCATGGAATAATTATAAATGGGACGGGCATTGTGTGTAAGACCATCTTTCATTTCGGCTGCCTGGCGTAAAGCTGGAGGACCCAATATACTAAAATTATAAAAAAGAGAGATGAGAAAATTGAATAAATAAACAAATATTTGTATTATAAGGAAAAACAATTCATATAATGAATGGCAATTATTTGTAAATAGTCCTACTTAAATGTAATTACACGAAAGAAAAAAATCACAACAAATGACATGAATCAATTAACACCTTCGGGTTTTTTTTTTATTATTATGGGCGGACCGGACCATTTTATATATTTATCTCACATGGTGCGGAGCAGCACTATTGTTATTATGATGATGATGATCATCATCAAAAGAAAAGTGTTATGGGTTTATATGACGACGGGGAAAAAAGAAAATATACAAACCAAAAAAACATACATTCACACAAAAAACGTCAATGAAGAAATTCAAACAAATTTTGCCGCCACTTAGCAGGGGGGATAGAAGAAAATGTGTATATATGCAAATGTTTTTCGGGTCTTTTTTTTTTAATATTTTCATTCATAAAAATAAATGTACAATTTCTCATATTTTATTGATATAATTATTGTTTATCTATACGTTTTCTGGTTAGGTGATGATTTTGATATTTTTGAAAAAAAAAAACTAAAAAACGAATGTTTAATATTAGATTCTATTTCATCAAATGGGAACAATAGATAATTTCGTGGGGAATTATTTGCTATTTTCGGTAATTGCGATTTGTCTCAAGATATTTATTCTAACGAACCCAAATAGTCATTTTCAAAGCCGATAAAATTTTGTTTGGTCCACGTTTAACGGTATTTGTATATTAGGAATTTATAATACAAACCAAAGTGTAGGAGAGATTTCTATAACAAATTTTGTCCCGCATAACTGCAACATCTATTTTTTCATAAATTTTCGGAATTTAATTTTATTCCAAATAAAAAAATTTTGAACGTGGTTCTATGGGTTGAGAAGAATCGAAGGAACTTTCTCAATATTAGACGTGTTTGTCTACGATTTTAAATATTTTTTTACGCACTGTGGTCACCACCTTTTCATATATAAGTGTTTGCTTGTTTATATATGTACATACACTTATATATATGTGCATACACTTTCATTAATGAAATTTATGATATATAAAAAAATGCCAACCAAAAACAAAACCTCAAAAATTATGATTATTATTTGATAAACATTTGTTTAGCTAGCTAAAAAGGAAATCAAAACAACGAAATAAGAAAAAGATAGACCGACCAAACACCACAATTCCACATCTAAGAGAACTTTTTTTCTTTCAATTTATTTTAAATACATTTTAATTGTATTGTTTTTGTTGTCGTTGTTGCTGTTGATAAATATTTTGTCATAAAATATTTTACTTTTCATGCTCCATAAATTTTCGATACAGCATTAAAATGAGCAAAAAAATAAAAAGACCCTCAACAAGTTTATTAACCGCTGGGATGGTAGGTTGGTGGCGGCGTTCAACCTGAAAGCGTTCAGGTCAAAGACTGTTGCTGTTACAACAACAATGTACATACGTACATATATATGTGTATGAGCGACAACAATCAAATTGCCACAATATCTTCTGACATTAGAGCTATTATGGACGAACGAGCGGCCGAATGAAGCTGTTGCTGATTACTAGTTGCTTGCTGCAGCTTTATGTGTCTGGCATTTCTGTCTTTCCCGTTTTATTTTTTGCTACACTTTTTTGTTGTCGTAATATTTTTTGTACATTGAAGACGACACATATTTTATTAAGCGAATTCCCCAAGATGTTTTCTATATATGTCTGTGTTTTAATTTAAAGGTCAAGAGGTGTATATACACTGGTTGCCAAAACTAAAGCAACTAAAATTGGAATAATAATAAATGCAGTATAACTTTTTTCGAAAATAAAGATATTGTGTTTATGTCCTTTTAAAAAACAAAAGCATTAATGCAAAATTCATTATGAAATAAATAATAATTTATGGATACGGGAATTGTCTCAATTTTTGCTTGGACAAAACTAAAGCAACTCTACTGTACAAACAGATGAGCTCTAAATTTTTAGTTATTTTTCCATTATAATTACTGAGTTTTGGTATCTACACCTATTTCGATTCTTATAGATAATTTTTAAGTGGATTTAATTACAATAACATATTTCTGGTTTTCAATTACTGCCAAATAAAAATGTCTAGAAACAAATACAGTACACCGATAAAACAGTTAATTGCCAGTCATTGTGAAAATAATTTATCACAGAATTTCGAAGAAATATTCCATGAAAAAATCAGTAATTTCTCGATTTAAAATTTGATATTATGCAACTATATCAGTAGTGGCATTTCAGCTCGGAGGAAGGCTGCAAAGGGACATCAGTTCTTATTGATCAACAAACTGCCATAGCATTAAAAAAATACCAACATAAGAGTTCAACGGAATTTTCGAAGAGTTGTGGTAGCAGTCCTACATTTCCGGAAACTATCAAGAAAGTTCTTTTATTTCTGAAAATAATGAAAATAATAATAGCCAGATTGCCTTTCGCAAAAGATTATACTAATTGAATACGACTGAGTGGATAAATATTATGCTCTCTAATGAATTAAAGTTAAATATTAAAGACTCAGACACGAACAAATATACCGTGAGAAGGTAAAAAAATGAAAGGCTCAAGCCTCAAGCAAGCGTATTGGGAAGCATGGAGGAGGGTCAATAATTTGTGATATTTTTCTTTGTATGGAATACGATCTCTTTACGAGGTTTATGAAGTAATGGATCGGATTGTTGATACAAATGTGCTGGAAAACGCTAGGGTTCCCTTCGCTGAAGAAAATATACCGCTTGTGTGGATGTTTCAGCTTGACAATAACCTACAAACATACACCAAAACATGCCAAAGATTGGTTGTGGCTGTCAAAAATCAGGGTTTTGTAATGGCCAAGATAATTATCAGATTTTTACCTATTAGAAAAATCTTTGGGGTATCATAGTTAACAAAATAAAAATTAGGTTTACAATCAAACTAAAATAACCTCTTCCCAAAGGCTCAGGATGCGAAGACTAGTATACTAAAGTATCAAATTGAGCATTTTAATGGATTCAATGCCTCGTAGGTGTGTTGACGTAATGAAAAATAATGGTTATGCTTTCGTTTACTAGCGAAATTTGATATTTTTTAAGAATAAATCAAAAAGTTCCATTAGTTTTGACCATGCAAAAATTGTGTCAATTTAGATTTCCATATAATATTTTTTATTTCAAAATTAATTTTAAATTACCTATTTGTTTCTAAAAAAACTTTCACTGTAATTTTATTTTTAAGAAAGTTATAGGTCATTTATTCACTTTGTAATTTAAGTTGCTTTAGTTTTGGCCAACAGAATAAATCTGAACCGATTTAAACAATACTGAACACTTGCCATTGTAGGTTCAAGTCGGTGGCCAATGTGGCGATCGTGTAAATTGGAAATTGTGTAAATAGAAAAGATATAGGTTTTGAACTCAATTTAAATGAAATCGGTCAAAATTATAAATGGGATCTATATCTAAATCTGAATCGATTTGATTTGATTTATTCATCAATAAATATTTATCCACTTTAGCTTCAAACTACACATAACTTCAATGAATAAATTACCTATTTATTTCTGAAAAAAAACCTTCACTATAATTTTATTTTTAAAAAGTTCCATGTCATTTATTCAGTTTGCAATTTCAGTTGCATTAGTTTTGGCCACCAGTGTATATCGAGACAATTTCAGGAATTAGAGGATCATATAAAAGTCTACTGGACTCGGACCTCGGACATATTTCTTTTGTTTGCAAAAAAAAGGAGTTCCGAATTAACTTTTCCGATGAAATACGGATGGAAGAATGTTATCTTCTAATTGTTCTATAATTTTATAAGAGAATAATTTGAATAAACAACAAACAGAAAAATTAAATATTACTTAAAAACAATTCCGTACATGCCAATTTATCAACACTTTTACTTTTCTTTTGTGTGACAGCCTGAGGTTTTTTTTGTGTATTTCTGCTCGGAGGAAGGCTGCAAAGAAACATCAGTTCGTATTGATCAACAAACTGTCATAGCATTAAAAAATACCAACTTAAGAGTTCAACGGAATTTTCGAAGAGCTGTGGTAGCAGCCCTACATTCCCGGAAACTATCAAGAAAGTTCTTTTATTTCTGAAAAATCGCACAGCCAGATTGCCTTTCGCAAAAGCTTATACTAATTGGAATACGACTGAGTGGATAAATATTATACTCTCGAATGAATTAATGTTAAATATTAAAGACTCAGACACGAAAAAATATACCGTGAGAAGGTTCAAGCCTCAAGCAAGCGTATTGGGAAGCATGGAGGAGGGTCAATAATGTTTTTGTGATATTTTTCTTTCTATGGAATACGATCTCTTTACGAGATTTATGAAGTAATGGATCGGATTGTTAATACAAATGTGCTGGAAAACGCTAGGGTTCCCTTCGCTCCAAACATACACCAAAACATGCCAAAGATTGGTTGTGGGTGTCAAAAATCAGGGTTTTGTAATGGCCAAGACAATTATCAGATCTTTTCCTATTAGAAAAATCTTTGGGGTATAATAGTTAACAAAATAAAAAATAGGTTTACAATCAAACTAAAATAACCTCTTCCCAAAGGCTCAGGATGCGAAGACTAGTATACTAAAGTTTACTAGCGAAATTTGATATTTTTTAAGAATAAATCAAAAAGTTGCATTTGTTTTGAACATGCAAAAATTGTGTCAATTTAGATTTCCATATATATTATTTTTTATTTCAAAATTAATTTTAAATTACCTATTTGTTTCTAAAAAGACTTTCACGGTAACTTTATTTTTAAGAAAGTTATAGGTCATTTATTCACTTTGCAATTTAAGTTGCTTTAGTTTTGGCCAACAGAATAAATCTGAACCGATTTAAACAATACTGAACACTTGTCGGTGGCCAATGTGGCGATCGTGTAAATTGAAAATTGTGTAAATAGAAAAGATATAGGTTTTGAACTCAATTTAAATGAAATCGGTCAAAATTATAAATGGGATCTATATCTAAATCTGAATCGATTTAATTTGATTTATTCATCAATAACTATTTTATGCACTTTAGCTTCAAACTGCACATAACTTCAATGAATAAATTACCTATTTATTTCTGAAAAAAAACCTTCACTTTAATTTTATTTTTAAAAAAGTTCCATGTCATTTATTCAGTTTACAATTTCAGTTGCTTTAGTTTTGGCCACCAGTGTATATCGAGACAATTTGAGGAATTAGAGTATGATATAAAAATCTACTGGACTCGGACCTCGGACATATTTCTTTTGTTTGCAAAAAAAAGGAGTTCCGAATTAACTTTTCCGATGAAATACGGATGGAAGAATGTTATCTTCTAATTGTTCTATAATTTTATAAGAGAATAATTTGAATAAACAACAAACAGAAAAATTAAATATTACTTAAAAACAATTCCGTACATGCCAATTTATCAACACTTTTACTTTTCTTTTGTGTGACAGCCTGAGGTTTTTTTTGTGTATTTCTGCGTATATCATCTCCCCAAACAAAACAATAAAAAATACAATTGGCGCCGCTGACAATGTGTATATCTCTTAAATATAAATGACAAAATCTAATAATAAAAAAGTATATGCCAATAGAAGCGACATATACACACTATAAAAAATCATAAATACAGCAGGAGTAATAGAAGGTCAATATGGGATTAATATTGACATTCAATTCAAAATGAATAGTGCTAGGTAACCAACACAATAGATATGTATATACAGTAGGGCGGGCCAAATTTTTTGACGATTAAATCCAGACCCTAGGATGATTCATATGGCTGGATTTAATCGAATTTTTCGACTCTATACATAATGCCCTCCCTAATATACAGTATGTACTGACATTATATTATTCCCTTGAATTTTACAAGTTTATAATCTCAGGTATTTGTATTTTATTCGATTTTGTCCTGAAGTCAGTACTATTAATAATTTATACAAAATGTTAAGGACAAGAGTATAAGTACTATTATCCTTATTTAGCATATGTTTTATAAGAAAAAACATTCTCACAAAATACAACCAAGAGAAAAAACATTGTTTATGCCCGGCCAACCACATCTCCCTCCCCCCTGCAATTTGTTGTTGATTACTTAATGATTCAAAATGTTTAAAAATAAATTGAACATACAAGAAAAACAAGGGGGACAACTAAACAGTTTATTCAATAAGTGAATAAACGCACGAATGAATGAATAAATAGCAAATAATAGTAGCAGCAACAACAATGTCTTTAAAAATAGGGGCCCGAACCTAAAATAATCGGCTAACAAAACATTTGGCATTAAATTTTGTGATAAGAAACCCCTTGAGTGTTTATATTTTTGGCAGGGCGTATGAAAATAAAGTCCGAAAGCGTAAGTGTGTGAATTTCACTTGTTAATTCGGTTTAGAAACAAATTCGTCATTCAGAACACAGCCAACGAAATTAGTTATGCAAAAGTGCGATGATGAACAATTATTGCATCTCAGAATACTATGCCATACAATTAAAAGCAAATGATGTCGTATGTAATTAAAAAACACATACAATAACATTTGCATACAATAATATTTTGTTTGATATGTAAGCAAAAAAAAATACTATTAAAAAAGCCAGACACCAATTGAACAAATATTATAGAAAAAGTAAAGTAAGAGGTGAAAAACAGGAGAAGAAGGAGTGTAAAGAAAAAATACACCGGTGTTCTTTTTTTAATTTACCATCTACGTGAGGGTTGGGTTGGCTATTAATTTGCATAGAATTCTATAAATAAATAAATTTTTATTGTTGTTGTTTTTTTTGTACTTGATATATTTATCACCTTAATTATAATATATATTTTTTTTGTTCGTTTGTTTTTTTATTGCAATACCAAATGGTGTTAATTTATGCCGGCGTTAGGTGTAATAAATATTTCACTTACCATTGTTTACTTTTGTGTATTGCCTCATAGACAGGACCCTCGAATTCATTCAATATAAAATAGGTACGCCAATCATAATCGTTAATAAGTTCCAGACCAGTTTCCGATGTTATGACCGGCACACCAAATGTATGAGCAGCTTCAACGGCAGCATTATTTTGTATTACATCGCCGACCAGGCAAATGCGTAGATTTTCCGGTGAGGGTGATGATGAAATTGACATTTCTGAAATAAACAAATGACAAATTATTATTTATTCAAAATATTCAAGTAATTATGTAGGTAATGTTCAAATACCTAAGATAAAAACAAACATTTACGCTGGTGACCAAAACTAAAGAAACTGAAATTGCAAACTGAATAAATGACCTGTAACTTTTTTGAAAATAAAGTTATAGTGAAAGGTGTCAAAAAGAGGAGAGTATTATTAAATCTGATCTAATTTTGAAACCACCCTCTATATAAGGACAAAAAAAGAGATTTCTTTAAAGACTTTATTACAACAAACAAATCGTTTCAAGTACATTGACTTGCAGCAACATATTTTTTTCGAGTCTTGATTCTCTATAAATTGAGGGGAAAATTTCTCCGCCTTACACATCAAGAAAGATGGATGATGAATTTCTTAATGAAAACATGAACACATAGTTCCAATAAAGAACAACATATTGTCAGTCAGTTTGTGCATATTCATATAAAGCAATTTAGTTTTTTTATTATTATTAAATAAAGTAAAATTGATATCTGGAAAATATTTGAGTAGCACCCGGCAGCCAGGCAAGCAGACAGACAGCTCCAGCTGCATTTCTTTCAATTGAGCATTGTTGCTGACAATCTCAATCGCCTGCCTTGTTGGCTGACTTAAAATGTATCTTTTGTAAGGGACAGAGATAAGAAGAAGCAAAAGGAAGAAGTAATAAACGGTATCTTTACAACAATGTAAACAAGAGGTTTTAAACAAGCAGAGGCGACAACCGGCAGGCAAGCCATCGCCATGTGCCTGCATTATCCACACGTCTTGTACTCTCGATGGTCTAAGACTGGTTGCATTTGTTCTTTTGTTGTTGTTGTTGAAATTTTATAACAGCTGTTGTAATATTCGTTCTTTTTCTTTTCATAACTAATCAGCCGCTTTTTTCTCTCCTGTCCGTTTGAGGAGGGGGTAATAAGGCAATTAGTATTGTTAGTTTTACATAATTCTCAATGTGCGTAAGTATTACCTGATGATATGTAAACAATATTAAAATATTTATCCATAGTAACATTAAAAATAAATAGATAAAAAATTCATAATCTAAGGAGTTGATGTGTAAATATAGACAATGTGTAAATATAAATGAAAAAACGATAAAAAAAAAACTAAATAACTGAAATGCCTAATTAATACTCAAATATTTGTGAAGAAAACTCCAAAAAGAAGTAAAAAGGAGTTAAAGTAACAAAAAATCAATAGAAAATCACTACGGATGTAATATAGAAGATTAATTTTAGGACTCCAATGGCATACAATAAGATAGATTGAATTCAGTATTCGGAAAAATATTCGTCACATCGCCAAAAATTCGTCCCAAAATTCTAAACTAAAATCAAAAAACAAATTCAAAGGTATCCGTTCAGAATTTTAGAAACGGGAATTCTTCTAGGATTTTCTAAGACACACCAACCAAATCTGAAATTAAATTTAATAATAAATTCTGAATGATTTCCTTAAATTATTTGGTGCCTAAAGAAGACCCTAAAAACTTTGTAACGGATTAAAATGACCTTAAAATTTGTAAACACGATACTGGCCATAGTTATGGACCAATCTTAACGAAATTTTTTTCCAACTACTTAATTTTTGTCTAAATTTTACATGGAGAAGGGGATTGGACCAAAGAATAAGCATGCCTATTTTGATAAAGGTCGGACAATATTTAGGGGGTCAAATTGACCCTGACGTTTTGTAAAAAATTACAAAATTTCTATGTCCTTCAGAAGTAAATATATACTCCTATATTTACTCCTGAAGGACATAGGCCCGAGAAGTTTGTAGTATATCCAGGAGTAGTTGTTGACCTTTAAATAGATATCAATTATATTTTTCATTATGTACTCGGATGTGGGAGTTATACGAAAATATTTAAAGGTGAGGGCGGAAATGTCGCACTGATCGCTTTGAAACTTTACAAGAACATCCGGTTATGGTCAAGGACGACGCCTATAATTTTCGGTGATGTTGAAATAACATTTGGGTGGTGCAATGAACCGAAACTTTATTTTTGTCAGATTTTCTATGGCGTAAATATTCGCCTCAGGAAAACCAGATTTGGAAAATATGTCAGGGTTAGAAAGTGGAGATATACTCGACCAAGAGAGTGCAAATATCGGCTCGGATTATAGATCCACAAAAACTTAGACTTTAGTGATAGTTGTGTAGGGTATCATATGGTCGGTGGTCCCGTCCGACTATATTATTCCGCTCACAGTTTTCTATATAGGCATATCTTCAATGAACACACGTCTTTGCCTTCCTCTAAAAAAAATTGTCTCCCTTCTGTAGAAAGCCTTATGTAAATGAAATTTATTTTGTATTCTAAGCAAAAACTTCTATTTTTATGATATGTTTCTGATTCCTTCTAATGCCCAGTTTCTGATTCCTTATAATTTAATTTCAACGCTGTATTAGATGAAAAAAGGTGATCATACAATTGCATACACTGAAAATATATTAAAGTATAGTCCTATTTTATTCTTCCAAAAAAGAAAGAAAATAAAGGAGCCCATATGTGTGTAATTTCCTTGTGTCGAAATGATTTTGAAAACAGGTGTTTCGTTTGTTATCCTTACAAACAGGATATGTTCATTATTTTCTACAAGTCATTTAAAAACCGGATGTGACACAAACGCATTATTTTCTTCAAATGGATTTCCTTTAAGTGAGTGTAGTATTTACAAAAAGAAAACTGAGAATCATATTTAAAATTTAGACATGGTGTACAAGGATTCGTTTGCAGAATGTTTTTTATAGTAAACGAGAAGTCATGTTCATTAATTATTTTTTTACTGAAGGTCTTTTTGAAAGATTGTTTAGAAAGATTTTTTATTATTATTTTTTTTTACTGGGATACGCTTAGTATCTTCGAAGTTAAGAACAAAACAAAAGCAACAATAGGTAGGAGAATTTTATTTCCAAAGTGTCCCCTTAATGTCTTCATAGAGTAAACATATACTCCATATGGAGAACATTTCATCATTCTGTATACAATAGTTGGAGACCATGAGCAATTCCACAGTGTTTGGATCACAATCGGGGTCTGTAGATGAGATCTGTATATTTAGGAAAACATTTCGTTTTCTATCATTTTATTTTCTTAATATTTAAGGGGACTTCAAGAAAAGACTATCACGAGCATTAAAATATATATCATCATACATAGAATTTCTAAGTCACCATATTATTTTTAACTAATACTCGAAATATCAGAATGCTTCACATTATAGTGGAAAAAAATAACCTCCACTTATCCCTTTCGAATAATTCATTCTAAAGAAATTAAGCATCTCTAATTGTTCATTTCATTTCAGTTTTTTTGCATCACACTTGATTGACAAGTACTATAATGTTCAATTAATAAACAAAATAAACAATATTTCTTAGATACACACAGAAATCTTGAAATAAAAATAAACACTTTTTTGAAAATATTCAAAAAAAAGTAAAGCAAAAACAAACTAATGATTATTCACACAACATACTATGTACCAAAACGAAAAATAAAAAAGGAAAATAAAAAGATAGATAAGTATCAATGACGAGAGTGAAAGAAGGCGAGAAATTATAGCAACAACAAGTTTATACACATATATTTGTTAGTACATATATATCTAAATGCAAACAAATGGCCAGAATACTAAAGGTAGTGGACACAGGAATGATATGTTCTTCTACTGGACACACATTCCCCCTCCGACGGGAAAAAGAAAAATCAAAACAACAATTTTCACAAATTATTGAATACTTTCCTACATGTCTACGCAAGCAATCACTTAAAAATAAAGAGAGGAACAACAAAATAAAATCGTGGAATATGTCGTGTGCCAACTGACCGATCGACTGACCGAACACATTTGCTGCTCTGGTCTTGTTTTTTAAATATTTTCCTTAATTTTATTTATTTATTCGTTTTTTATTGATTTGGACAGTATTCTTCTAGTGACTAGAATTTAATTCAAAAAAAAATAAAAAATAAACACAAAATGTTTCTTCTTTAGAAAAAAAAAAATAAGTACAAAGGAAAAATGTAATAGTTTGATTTTCCCCCTATTTAGCGCGGAAAGAACAAAAAGGTACGTGATCCACATTTTGTAATGGAAACATTTTGTAAGAAATATCAAACAAGAACCACGACAACTGTGGTGTCCGTCCATTCATTTACATTCAATGCATGTAAAAAGGAGGAGTGTAGATAAAAATTATTGTTTGTCATCACACGATTCAATTGTTTATTATTGGCCTGTCTCGCGCGACTATTTCTTCAATTAATTTAAGAAATAATTCATTTACAACAAAGCGAAAACAACTTAAAATGGGTTAATTGTTTGGCGGGGAAAATGTGCATAAAAGAAAATGTCGTTACGTTCGTCGGAACCGAACTTTTTATACCCTCTAATAGTAAAGGACCAAAAACAAATCGAGTTATGTTGAAAAGTGTCATAGTTCCATATGCTTTTAAAAAGTCATATGGACCTTTGTAGAAAATTTTCGACTAGCCTCAGAATAGCCTCTATGGCGAAATTGTTATGAAAATGCCAAAGCGAAACTTTTATATAAAGAAGATGATAATACCTGGTTTTACATTGAAAATGTCCTGTCCGAAATTCCTAATAATATCAACATTGGCTGGAAAATAAAATACCTGAATTGGAAAGGGAAATCCAAACTCCAAGAACCAAGAACGCCAAATTACAGACTGTTCCATTGGAAAAAGCGGCTAAAACCTATGGTTATCTATTGAAAATTATTCCTAGGTTGTACGAACTGCTCTCGTACAACCTCGTCGGTTGGAAAATGCGGCAAAAATCTTGAATATTTCGAAAATGTGGTGGTAAGTGTTATGCCAAAACAGATATACAATACTGGTGCCCAAAACTAAAGCAACTGAAATTGCAAACTGATTAAATGTCCTGTAACTTTTTTTAATACGAAGTTATTGTAAAGTTTTTTTTAGAATTAAATAAATTTA